TGATATGTGTTCTCCTACCTGCAAAACACATATCCCTAGTGATATGAGTCTCCCTACCTGGGAGACACATATCCCTAGTGATATGTGCTCCCCTACCTGGGAAACACATATCCCTAGTGATATGTGTTCCCTACCTAAAGAACACATATCCCTAGTGATATGTGTTCCCCTACTGGAAAACACATATCCCTAGCGATATGTGTTCCCCCACCTAGGAAACACATATCCCTAGTGATATGTGCTCCCCCACCTGGGAAACACATATCCCTAGTGATACGTGTTCCCCTACTGGAAAACACATATCCCTAGTAATACGTGTTCCCCCACCTGGGAAACACATATCCCTAGTGATATGTGCTCCCCTTCCTGGAAAACACATATCCCTAGAGATATGTGTTCCCCTACCTGGGAAACACATATCCCTAGTGATATGTGTTCCCCTACCTGGAAAACACATATCCCTAGAGATATGTGTTCCCCTACCTGGGAAACACATATCCCTAGTGACATGTGTTCCCCTACCTGGGAAACACATATCCCTAGTGATATGTGTTCCCCTACCTGGGAAACACATATCCCTAGTGATGTGTGTTCCCCTACCTGGGAAACACATATCCCTAGTGATATGTGTTCCGCTACATGGAAAACACATATCCCTAGTGATGTGTGTTCCCCTACCAGGGAAACACATATCCCTAGTGGTATGTGTTTCCATACTTGGGAAACACATATTTCTAGTGATATGTGTTCCCCTACAAGGGAAACACATATCCCTAGTGATATGTGTTCCCCTACCTGGGAAACACATATCCCTAGTGATATGTGTTCCCCTACCTGGGAAACATATATCCGTAGTGATGTATGTTCCCCTACTAGGGGAACACATATCCCTAGTTATATGTGTTCCCCAACCTGGGAAACACATATCCTAGTGATGTGTGTTCCCCTACCAGGGAAACACATATCCTAGTGGTATGTGTTCCCCTACCAGGGAAACACATATCCTAGTTATATGTGTTCCCCTACCAGGGAAACACATATCCTAGTGATATGTGTTCCCCTACCAGGGAAACACATATCCTAGTGATATGTGTTCCCCTACCTGAGAAACACATATCCCTAGTGATATGTGTCTGAGTTGTGAAAGTAAGCTAGTGCAGCTAAGGTGCAAGGCCCTCGGGGGGAGTGGGCCGCCGGGCTTGCTCTCCTGGAAAATTTTTATATTTTGATTCTCTGAAATGCTGTTTTCTGCACTCTGCAGGCTATTTTCTTTCCAAAATTACTGAAAATCCAGAGATTAAGCTATGCTCTTTACCTTTTAATCTTGTTGGTGAATGGTTATATTTTATTAATAAAAAATGCCATCCGTGAAGAAATGCCAAGCAGAGTAGGTTGCCAAAACTAACCAAGTAGGTGGCGATTTTCGCCGGCAACCGGCTACTTTTAACAACCCTGCTCTTTAAGCCTTGATGGGACTTTGTCTAACATTTCAGCCATAAAGTTGGCTTATCCGGAAAGAAACAACTCTTTGCTGTAAGTTTCGTCCAAGGGATGACTTATCCTCTGGCTTCTTAAAGTCGTTAAAGCAAAGGCAGCCTCTAATTTGTTACAACAGGAGCCCCACTAAAAACCGGGTTATATTTAAAATGAAACAGTTCATGTATACCCCAATGGAAAAGAGTGTTCGTTTAATCTTGATCAGGAAAAATAGAATCTCACTACTTCTTTGTAGAATCTCCTGATTTTTTTTTCCATGTGTCTCCAGATTTTCTCCTTTTAGGGGTTGGTAGGTCTGTAGGAAAATTAAAAGAACTCCCTGGCTGTTTAGTTCCCCACCGACTAATTGCATTTAGTATATACTAAAACAGTGGATAGTGTTTTCCGCGCGCTCTGATTGGCTACTCAATCAGTGAATATCCTGCACTATTCACTGATTCACCGCCAGTTCCTCGGAGCGAGCGACGCCAAACTCGTGTAAGTTGCAAGCAAAATGCCTTCCCGGTTTGCTGCCGTAAACAAACAAAGAAATTTCACAACTAATCAAGCAAGCTGTTTCCGAAATACACGAAGAAGGTGACGAAGTTCGGATTGGAAGTTTTAACAGGTAAAGCTTTTTTTTTTGACACGAATTTATCGATAAAACCGGTGAAAAAGTTTTTTGTTTACAAATGCAAATGAAGCTTAAGTCTTGCTTACTTTATTTAGTTGAGTTGTTCATAAATAAGCTTAAAACTAAATTTAATAATCTTTTTTTATAGAATGATTTTAAATACAAAAAGAATTCACAACTCCCTTTGAACAAATTTCCCCGCAAGAGCTAAACAAATGCCTTCAAAAGTTTTAGTTGCCGGCAAGAAAAAGCGACGGCCGCGGCCGCCCGGTCATTACGCGCCAAAATTGTAATCGTTGGCAACAGTATTTGAGTTAAAAATCGTCGTTTTTGTGCTCAATTATCTCACTGTTTTAGTATATACTAAAACAATTATTCACCTCAGTGTCGGTGGCTAGTCGTGGATATTTACCTCACTGCTTCGCAGTTCGGTAAATATCCAGGACTAGTCACCTCCACTTCGGTGAATAATTGTTATTTATACGGGAACTTGAAATTCTAGTGACAACCCTGAATATTTCAAATGGAAGCATTAAAAATGATTTTACCTGAATGTTAGGTTTGTTCTTCTTGGTAGCTTCAGGGACCGCGGAGCAAGGTGAAAAGTGGGAGGGCTGACAATTGAAAATGATTTTTTCATATCGAAAATCGAAAAAAGGAATAAAATCATAGTATTTTGATTTGTTTCTGTCGCGTGACTTTGCATACTTTATCCAGTATTTGTTGCTCTTTAGAGCGGTTTTCACTTGACTGTCGAAAGTAATTGAGGAATTGGTTTGGTTTTGGTTTTACTACGCCCTTTGGTTGGCTAGTGTATTTACTTTGGTTTTGGTTTTACGACAGTCAAGTGAAAACCGCTCTATAGGTCGGCATTAGTGAAGATACCGAAATTCTTCATACGATTTTCATTCCGTCCAGCAAATGTGTATGCTAAATTACAGGATTGCTGACAATAAGTAGAATATTATAAATAGAATAAATATATAACCCATCCCCAAAAATCCAATTACATTTAACGAATATTAGTCAGAAACAACTCGCACTTCCAAAAAATGAAACTTTTAACAATATATTGAAATGTTTACTGGTCAAACTCAAACTCAACATTTTCACTGCAAGTAGTTGCCGTCTTTTCTGCAGAGCTTACAGACTTTGACGAAGTCCCAGCTAACTCTAATAAACGACCACCATACACGGTCAGTTCAGATTCAATGCAAGAAAAGACGCGATTACAATTTTAGTATAGAAAATACTACACTGAAGTGATCTGAAAAATTTCTAACTATGGCCGTTCACTGTTCAAGTAATGTAATTCTTCTTGCCATCGAATATTTCATTGATTCGAAAGGAGAAAGACAAAATATAAAACTTTTATCAACTTAAAACAACTACTCACCTTCGATTGGCTTGAAAAAGCTAGTAATTTTCTTCATTTCGTCTGATAAAACTGATAAAAAACTCTGCCGGAGCTGGAAGTACAAAACACGCTGCCGAACGAAGCGAAGGGGGGGCCAAGGCATGGCGTTTGATCAAGGGGCAAGTCGTCCCCAGGGCGCAATTACCGCGAAAAGCAGAAGAGCCCCACAAAATGCCTGGCGTTTGAAATTAAAGAAAATACAGAGAGTATAGCGGAATATAGACGGAAAAAACTTGTTTCAAGCCTTTTTTTTAATTTTAATTATTTTTCTTTTCAGCGCAAAAAGTGGGGGCGGGGGCGCAAAAAAAGTGGTGGGGCCGCGGCCCTACCAGCCCCTCCCCCTACGCGGTCCCTAGTCAGTGATGTAGGCATAGCTCCTCCAATATCAACTTTGTAGCTGTCAGAGCCTCTGTTGGTAACAATGCCAATCACTCGTTCTTCCTTCACTGGGACATACTAAGTAAACAGGCAAGAGAAAAAGTTACTTACCCTTACCTTCTAAATCTATATTATGTGCCATGTGCAACACGAGTCTTACCCTCCTTTGATTGCAGTCAATCAAATAAGTGGCCGGTTTTCGATGCCTTAAAACTCCTGCCTTGTATGCTAAAATCACGCCGTTCTCCTCTCGCAACCCAGGCCCAAACTTGATTTTGCTTTTTCCTTCAATAGTTGCTTCTAAATCTGCCACTTTGCCGATGACATCGCCTGGCATTACAACTCGATTGACAAGACTTGCAACGTCCTTGTCCGCGATGTTATTTTGGTACATACTTCATGTAACACAGAAAAGAGTGCATTGTCAACCCCAGACTGCTCAGTTTTCCTTGATTTCTCTTAGCTTACTTCCCCTAAGAGGGGTAATTTTCCGGAAAAAGAATCCCCTGGGATTCGAAACTTTGTCGAGCCCTTAACTGAGAATACTGCTAGAAACTTTTCTCAGTATATCGTCAAACATACAGATTTCTTTATTGAGCTGGTATTTTTTCCCTAGCGCGCGCTCTCTCACTGGTTTTACTTAGGGGTCACATGACATCTTATTGCTTCTCGCCAACAGTATCAAGGGACCATACAAAGTCATCACAAAAATCTATGAAGACCCTAGACTCCCCGCAGGCGTCCTTTGGGGTTCGTTCTTCACGCATTCAGAAATGTTTCACCTCGTTGTTTTTAAAGCAACAAAGTACCAGATTTGCTTTAGATATAACGGTGCAGATAGATATAACGGTTTGATTCTTCTGCGCGCGCTTAGTGAATAGAATGCAGGGCTCTCTATGAAGTAACGAAACCTGTACTGTATTGTGCGAAAACGTTTCCACAGAAGGAAAACTTAAAGCATACGGTGCTTCTCAGGAGAACAGAAAACACGATATAACGAAAAAAAAACAAAAGTCAAAAGAATTCAAAGTATCTCTCAACATGACTTCTTATGAAAGCTTAGACGGAGACAGTGAAGATGAAGCAGGTATTCGCATGTACATTGGTACATATGAAGGACACAGAAACGAGAAATATGAACGCCATGGGTTTGGTCACGCTTTGCTACCAAACGGCGATAAATATGAAGGCGAATATGTAAATGGAAAGAGACATGGCAAGGGGAAATACGTGTTTTTCAGTAAACAGGCAAGGTAATAAACTTATTTATACTACTGCGTGAGAAATTTCTGCAATTTGATTGGCTTAGAGCCGTGGTATTTCTACTTAATTTGAAGTACTTACATGTGAAAATTACAAACCTTTTGCGGGAAGTAGTATAAATACCACTCGTGATATTTCAAAATTGTCTCAAATTTCACTCCCTCATCGGCTCGTGAAATTACGTATAACAATTTTGAAAGATCACTCGTGGTATTTGTGCCAAAAATGAATCATGCTATTACCTATACAAATAACGCGGCAAGTGAACATTATGGAGAATATTTGGGGTTTGATAATTCTTCTATAGCGATTATTAAAAGCAAACAAAAGTACTAGCTAGGTCTGAAACAAAGAAAAGTATATATATAATTTGAAGCAAGGATAAAACTAGATCACAAAAGATGCAGTATAATCTCTGATTTTCTCCTATTGAAAATTTGCACTTCACTATACACTGAAGTGCTTAAAAATCAGTATGTATCAAGTTTAACATGGCAAATTTAATTTTGCAATCGATCCTGGTAACTCGAAACCTCGCTAACTTGAACTGTTTTTCGTTTCCCTTCAGGGTTCGAGTTACCGGGGTTCTACTGAATGTAGAAAAAATCATAAACAACTCTTACCAGTTTGAAATTGCCTAAAAAAACTTGAATTTCCATAACGTCTCCTTGCGGTTACATTTAATGATCTGTCCAGTAATTTCTTTTCTTGTACGGTTCTCACCTGTGGATACGTAATTCTTCTTGAATCAAGACATCATGCATGAAGGCCCTTTATCCAAGACGCTGGAACTGTACATGTGCACTATACTTGAATTTCACAAAATTGGCATAACTATTGTTCACCGACATGTTATTTGGCTTGGTTTTGCTGCGAGTTTGTTTTATATTCAAGCGCGCTTTCAAACCAAATAACTAACCAGTTATATTACAGAAAACACAGTTCTCTAGGGGCACGTTTCTACAGCACGTGTTTTCTCAAGTCCAAAAATTCTTGTTGACTTCACCCTTAAATTTCTACCAAAGTAAAGCAGTGCTCTTGCTTTTTGTATAATCGCTCAATGAATATCAAAATTTCCCGCTGAAGGAAATGTTCTTTCTTTTCTTTTTGGCCGTTCTGTTTTTGTTTTCTTTGCCGTTATTGTTGTTGTTGTTTTTTTAGACCATATTTTACCTATTGGCTGGTTTCAGTTTATTCATAGTGCGTCGGCTTCATCACAGCTTCGCGAAGCGTTGCGATAATCGTATAATTTTCTACTTTATTTCTTAGGTACGAAGGACAATATGTCAACAATCAGAGACATGGTCAAGGAACATTCTGGTACCCTGATGGGTCAGTGTATGATGGAGACTGGACCGAGGGACAGAGGAATGGTTATGGTGTATACATATATGCTAATGGCGATAAGTACCT